CCCTTGTGGGTTCCTGCACTAGCTGCTCCAAGAAGCAATCATTTAAGCCATTGAGAAATTTTATCTCCGCTTTTCTTCCTGAGGTGACATGTATCCAGTCAATATGGGGGTAATTAAAATCCCCCATTATTATAGAGTTCTCTATTTTGGTAGCCTCTCTAATCTCCCTCAGCATTTCTGTCAGTATCGCTGTCCTGGTCAGGTGGTCGGGAATATATCCCTACTGCTAATTTCTTATTATTGGAGCATGGAATTTCTATCCATAGCGATTCTATGGAACATGTTGATTCACTTAATATTTTTATTTCATTTGATTCTACATTATCTTTCACATACAGTGCCACTCCGCCACCCACCAGGCCTGCTCTAGCCTTTCTATATATTTTATATCCCGGTATGATTGTGTCCCACAGATTTTCCTCATTCCACCAGATTTCAGTGATGCCTATTATGTCTATCTCCTCATTTAATACAAGGTACTCTAGTTCACCCATCTTATTAGTCAGACTTCTAGCATTTGTGTACAAGCACTTTAAAAATTTGCCACTGGTTATTTGTCTGCCCTTCCCTGATGCATTGGATTCCTTTGTATGCGGTTGTTTGTCAGCTCTGGCCCATGGTTTGCCCTCTCCCCTCCTCTCTTTCTGACTACAGCTTAGAGAATCTCTATCAACGGATTCTTCTCTAAGAGAAGTCTCTCTCCGATTTACGTGCATCTCCGCACCAATTGGCTTTCCCCCATCTCTTAGTTTAAAAACTGCTCTACGGCCTTATTAATGTTTAGTGCCAGCAGTCTGGTTCCACCCTGGTTTACGACGGATTCTCCTCTAAGAGAAGTCTCTCTCCGATTTACGTGCATCTCCGCACCAATCGGCTTTCCCCCATCTCTTAGTTTAAAAACTGCTCTACGGCCTTATTAATGTTTAGTGCCAGCAGTCTGGTTCCACCCTGGTTTACGTGGAGCCCATCCTTCCTGTATAGGCTCCCCCGTCCCAAAAGTGTCCCCAGTTCCTAATAAACCCCTCCTCCCTACACCATCGTCTCATCCACGCATTGAGACTCTGAAGCTCTGCCTGTCTACCTGGCCCTGCGCGTGGAACTGGAAGCATTTCCGAGAACGCCACCATAGAGGTCCTGGATTTCAGTCTCTTTTCCTAGCAGCCTAGACTGATCTAGTGCCTTCACACACTGGCTTCCCTGGGCTGTTCAATGCAGAGTGGTAGCTGCGGAGGTTGTGCTGTGAACTGGCGCAAGCCAGACTGAACACCATAACTTCCTATCCTTGTCAACTAACTGAACAGTCAACAGAAAATCTATTGACTATTCAATTAGAAAAGTAACTGCATTTTTACATCCCTAATCTCAACAGCTTTGAAAATCATTTATTTTGTTCCCAAATAGTTAAGAGCTCTCTGATTCAATCTAAGCAACACTGTGCTACTTTCTGATAAAAGTGAGCAGTACAGGTCAAGAAACTACAAGATAACTATAGTAGATGATATCCTTATATAGTCAACAGGAGACTAGCTTTCATGGGTACAGAAATCTCATGAGTCAGAGCTGAAGAGAGTACTCTTAGAAATGAGCTCACAAATAGATGGATCTAATTAATGAAGTTGTTTTTTGAGTGACAGTCTTTGTGATATACAAGCTCTGTAGGCGAATAAACAGAGATCTTAGAACTTGGAGGTTGGCCCCTGCAAGAGCAGCGAGATCTAATTCATGGTAGTGTATTGACTGAAGGCTCTTAGAAGAAAAAAACACCTTGAATTATTGAGAACAGAGTTGAGATCCAAGAAGATAGGGCAGGAGTAAAGGATTTCTTGGACTGTAACTTAGCTCTGGGCTTATAGTAAGGATCATACAATAGTTGTTGGAATACATGGTCCTAGAACATGGCTCAGAAGGGTATGTTTTCCAGAGAAAATGTGTAAGGAGATTTTTGGCTAATGAGTGAGCGCTAACATAACCATTACCTTGACAAAAATGTGGGAGTCAATGACTAGACAAACTCCAGAGTATTATATTAATATTGGCCTTGAGACCAGAATAAAGAGAAACAGAAAGGCTGGTCATACGGGAATGTATAAATGTATATCCTGGAGACCCAGGGCAGAGAGACACGCTCCCAGGTTTATTGCAGGATTAACTGACTTCAGTTCTGAGATGAGGAAAGAACCAAAGAAGAGAAGGAGTTTGAAACCCCAGGAAGGTTGTATAGCCTGAAAAAAAAAGTACAATATTTTCTATGGCAGGACTTGCGTCTCAGTCCCAAAAGCCAGCAGGTGTTAAGCATCTCCTGATTCATTTATTATTCATATTGGCCTTTGGACACAAGAAAGGGCTGAAATTATTCTTTTTATGGAACAGCTGAAATTTAAACTATGTTACCTAAAGCAGAGAAATTCTTTTTCATGACTCAGTGATCTGATGTGTAGAGCCTGTGCTTGTGAAAATCACTGTAACCTGCCCTCAATAAGTGGGATTCTTCTGTAGGCATATGGTGTTTCAAGAAGTGAGTTTTAACCTATGTAATCTTTTATAACCTAACCTGAGACTCTGGCTTATGATCTAGGAAGAGAAATAGGATAATCTAAACCAGGGTAACATGAACTTTCCACAAATGGTGGAATGTTCTCCATATAGCTTTCTGTGGTGCAAAAGACACAACAGAAGAAAATAAGTGGAATCATTTTGCAGCCGAAACATTCTCCAATGCAGGTTGAACTTCTCTCGTCCAGAACTCTGGTCCGGAAACATTAGTCATTCAGAATGATATTAATTATCCAGATATGCACTTTTCATGGATGTGGCCAAGGTTCCCTCAGTCTAATAAAGTTTGTTTACAGTCACCAGTCTTAGCTCTCAATGTTCTGTTATTTAGCTTTAATTTATCCCTAAATGTCCTTTAAACAGCACAGTAAGCAATGGAAGTGTTGATAATGATGCTAGATAATATTGACCCTCTGTGGTCAGGAAAATTCTCTGGTTTGAAACTGGTCAGGTCCTGAGGGTGCCAGAATAGAGAGGTTCTACCTGTTGCATATCTATGGCTCCAGTGGAAAACAAACCACCTTTAAAACAAACACACACCCACACACACACCCCCCCCCCCCCCCACCCCCACAAGCCTTCAGCTTGCGCAGAACCCCAACCCTCCCCCTGACCCCAACACTCTCCAGCCTGGAACACCATCTAAATAGCTAAAAACAGAATTGATATTTTGTTTCTCTGCCTCCATCTGCAAGTAGGAGGAATAAAAATACTGTTGGGCCTAACCTATGGGAAACAGAAGAAACTTGTTTTGTTCTGAAGCATGTCAAATGTAACACAAGCTGCTCCTACAGTGATTCCTCTAATAATTTAAAGCAGATAAATTTCTTTTAAAAAGCTAATGGAAAGTTGCATTCAGACTACTGCCCCTCCTTGCAGCCTTCTGAAACACTTGATGGAAAGAAATATTTCACAGCTAGCTAAACTATAGCTATAAAAGCTTAATTGAAATTTATATTTTCAGACAATTTTTTTTCTACAAACTATTTTCTAAAATGTTTCACAGTTTACATGTGGCAGGAAGTACTGCATATATTGACAGTCAGGATTCTATTTTGTATGTTGCTCAGCATTTTTAAATCAATTTTTTTCCAAATATCACACAATATGTAAGTTTAAATTATTTCACATTTTAAAAATTAAAAAAATATGTAACTAATGTAGAATTTACACATTTTTTACAATGTTGATTTCAGCAACCTAAAAAACATTCTGAAGTTTGCTTAAGTTTGTTACTATTACCTCCCAACCCAATCCAGCAACAAAATCTTCATATGCTTGGCTTCCTCTTGCATTGGACAATATTGAGCATTTGTCCTCTTGACCTTCTGCAATGTAAAACACTGCAATCTTGTGAGTTTCACGGCTGCAATTAGAGGTAACAAGAAATCTAAGTTCATTTTAAAATGTGGAAGTGACCTACTGTAAATGGACATGCTTACAGGTATGTGGTCCCCAAACATTGTCCTCATACATGTGCACCAATGTCAGAGTGTAGAAATTCTTCAAATCAATGACTATTGGCTGACACACATGTACAATTACTCTTTATGCTCCCAACTTAAGTACGAGGGCAGTGAGTACTGATGCGTCTCCAGTTCCTCCTCTTATTACAACCCAACAGAATCTAAAGTAAGAAAGTCCTTGCATATGAGGCAGACCACTCAGGGCTGAAGGGAATTTCCAACATGAGGGGTATGTACAGAGCAGGAATAGCAGGGGCAGTCCCCCAAATCTCTGTGTCTCTCTACAGCCTGGGGAGAGAAGCAGCAGCTCCTCTTTTCCTCACTCCTACAGCTACTTCCTGCTGTTTTCTCCTATTCTGCCAATATAATCATCAAAAACATCAGTTTTCAAATAAAGATGTTGAGTGCTGCTGAAGGTCTAGGATGGGTCTTCACCCTTTGCTTTTTCTGGAACTTAGAAATTACAGGAAGTAAAATCTCTTCCATGGTAATGAGGATGGACATGTGCTACTGCCCCACAGTGTAAGAGGGATTCCACTTCCTGTTGAAAAATTACCTCAGAGTAGTCCTTGAAAGGTTTTGTGAGATGGGAAATAGAAACTCTTCAGAGTATCTCTTGAGGATATTCTCCAGAATCTGACAGTTTACAGTGATCTTTAGTCTATTTGTGGGCAAAGAATGCAAGACAACTCCCAACAGTAACAGGGGATGAGGTATTTGGCATCAGCTGGTACACAGATCTTGATCAGTATGGCACTCTTCGCTCATGGTTGAGAATGAGCAGAGGTTATGAAAGTGGCTGAGAAGCGAGGTCCCTGAATCTTCTGACATTTGTGTAATGATTCACCTTTGCACTGATATTAAGCTGCATGAGAAGGGGAACAAATACATTATCTTAGCCCTTTTTGGAACACTACCTGATTTTACTATGGTCTGACTGATGAGTAAAGCCACTTTACCTGGTCCCTATCACTGTCAGATATTCAAGAGCTGGCAGTTGAGGATCCTTTACCTCCTTTAATAGGATCTGTAGGTAACTGATCTTACAGCTCCTGGTAATGGTGATGTTCATCTGGTGGAGCAAGTGAAGAAGGAATGGCTGCTTCATCTGGGGATGATACAGAAGCATCCCTTGGAACGGTCACTAATTACAAAGTAAATTCCATCACTTCCCTCTTGTACACTGACAGAACTGGCTGGTGAGAGGGAGAGGAGCAGTATGAGTCTGGAGAGGGGCCAGATCATCTTCCATAAAGATTCAATAGACCCCAATAAGGGCGGCAAGAAGGAGGACACCAAGGTAATCAGTATGCAGTTCCTGTGGGAGTTGTATTAGGCAGAATGACCGAGAATAATCCCTTGACTATCTATTACAACTCAACTGCCTCCATGGATATAACAACAAATGGTCTGATAGCACTTTATAGACTAACAAAACATGTAGATGGTATCATGGTATCTACAGGCATGTCAACAAGAAGGTGATCAGAGAGGGTGTGCAGTCCCTAATGGATGAAGAAGGTAACCTAGTGACAGAGGATGTGGGGAAAGCTGAAGTACTCAATGCTTTCTTTGCCTCTGTATTCACGGACAAGGTCGGCTCCTGGACTTCTGTGCTAAGCGACGCAAGATGGGAAGAAGATGGACAGCCCTTGGTGGGTAAAGAACAGGTTAGGAACTATTTAGAAAAACTAAACGTACACAAATCCATGGGTCCAGACTTAATGCACCCAAGGGTACTGAAGGAGTTGGCAAATGTCATTGAGGAGCCTTTGGCCATTATCTTTGAAAAGTCGTGGAGATCGGGCGAAATCCCGGATGATTGGAAAAAGGCAAATGTAGTGCCCATCTTCAAAAAAGGGAAGAAGGACGATCCAGGGAACTATAGGCCGGTCAGTCTTACCTCGGTTCCTGGAAAAATCATGGAAGGGATCATAAAGGAGTCCATTTTGAGACACTTGAATGAGAGGAAAGTGATCAGGAATAGTCAGCATGGATTCACAAAGGGCAAGTCGTGCTTGACCAATCTGATTAGCTTCTATGATGAGGTAACTGGCTCAGTGGACATGGGAAAGTCAGTGGATGTTATATACCTTGACTTTAGCAAGGCTTTTGATACGGTCTCCCACAATATTCTTGCCAGCAAGTTAAGGGAATGCGGATTGGATAAATGGACGGTAAGATGGATAGAAAGATGGCTAGAAGGCCGGGCCCAGCGGGTAGTGATCAACGGTTCGATGTCAGGATGGAGGTCGGTTTCTAGTGGAGTGCCCCAAGGTTCGGTTCTAGGACCGGTTTTGTTCAATATCTTTATTAATGACCTGGATGAGGGGATAGATTGCACCCTCAGCAAGTTTGCAGATGACACTAAGCTAGGGGGAGAGGTAGATACGCTTAAGGGCAGAGATAGGGTCCAGAGTGACTTAGACAAATTGGAGGATTGGGCCACTAGAAATCTCATGAGATTCAACAAAGACAAGTGTAGAGTCCTGCACTTGGGACGGAAGAATCCCAAGCATAGTTACAGGCTGGGGACCAACCAGTTAAGTAGTAGTTCTGCAGAAAAGGACCTGGGGGTTACAGTGGATGAGAAGCTAGATATGAGTCAACAGTGTGCCCTTGTAGCCAAGAAGGCTAATGGCATATTAGGATGCATTAAGAGGAGCATTGCCAGCAGATCCAGAGATGTCATTATTCCCCTTTATTCGGCTTTGGTGAGGCCACATCTGGAGTACTGTGTCCAGTTCTGGGCCCCCCACTACAAAAAGGATGCGGACGCATTGGAGAGGGTCCAGCGGAGGGCAACCAAAATGATTAGGGGTCTGGAGCATATGACCTACGAGGAGAGGCTGAGAGAGGGCCAGATTGGATATTAGGAAAAACTATTTTACTAGGAGGGTAGTGAAGCATTGGAATGGGTTACCTAGGGAAGTAGTGGAGTCTCCATCCCTAGAGGTGTTTAAGTCTCGGCTTGACAAAGCCCTGGCCGGGGTGATTTAGATGGGATTGGTCCTGCCTAGAGCGGAGGGCTGGACTTGACGACCTTCTGAGGTCTCTTCCAGTTCTATGATTCTATGATAAGGGGATGGTTGGATGAAATAACATGATCTTGGTAACTAATTGACCATTCATTATAGGGAACTTTCTGGGTGTCTGGCTGGTGAGTCTTGCCCACATGCTCAGGGTTTAGCTGATCGCCATATTTGGGGTCAGGAAGGAATTTTCCTCCAGGGTAGATTGGCAGAGGCCCTGGAGGTTTTTCGCCTTCCTCTGTAGCATTGGGCACAGATCACAGCTGAAGGACTCTCTGCATGTTGGGGCCTTCAAAGTATTGGAAGGCTTCAATATCTGAGACATAGGTGAGAGGATTATTCTAAGAGGGGTGGGCGAGATTCTGTGGCCTGCACTGTGCAGGGGGTCAGACTAGATGATCATAATGGTCCCTTCTGACCTTAAAGTCTATGAGTCTATGAGCTTTCGTGGGCACAGCCCCACTTTAGATGACCGGTCATCTCAAGAAGTGTGCTGTGCCCACGAAAGCTCATGATGCCATCTACATGTTTTGTTAGTCTATAAAGTGCTACCAGACCATTTGTTGTTTTTTCCTCTACAGACTCTCTCAGCTACCCTCTGAAGCTTCTATGGATATAGTGACACATCCATCCACTCTGCTTCACTGGTAGCAGCAGTGCCATCAGAACCAGGGCATTTCTGATAGTTGGAGGTAAAACAGCTCCTGGGACAGCAATGTAAAGTCTCCATCTGAACAAAGATGTCCCTTAGGAGGGCTGGGCCAGAAAAAAGTGGAGACCTCGAATAAGGTAAGAATATAGCCTCTGATGTTATATAAGTCTTGATATGCCCTGATGTCTGACAGGTTCCTGCATGTTAAGCATGTTGGGATTCAATGCATTAACAACTGCACAATTGTTAGATGAATGAGGTGGTACCAATGATGAATTTAGAGCAGCACTTCTAGACACAACCAGCAACCGTCCATCCTTAGGCTTCAATAACAAGATGAATAATGGAATTGGCAGAGCTTTCTTTTTACACATCTTGCCCTCACATCTGGTCACCTTCACTGGTGCTAGCTCCTTAGGTTCCATTTATGTTGTCTCTCACAACCCAAACTGTCTTAGGGAGGAAATGAATTTCTTATGGATAGTCCTTAACAGGGATCTGTCCTTGCATTCATGAGTGCGCACTCTGCTCTCATGGGAAGCCCAGGAAGAAGAATCCTTGGATTTACATGTTCAGGGCACAGCTCCAAGGCACGTGCCAGGCAGAAGCAACTGGTCTCCATAATGTGCTTCTGTAGAAGTTACCAGACTTCTTGTGTGCTGGGTGAGAAGCAGCAGCACAGCAAATATTGCACTTTGCAGAGATATGCACCTCACCCAAGCAGTACAGGCATTGGTTCATGTTTACAACAGATGGAGAAAGACTGAGGGTAGGGACACAATTCTTGAATCCCAAGACTTTGGGGCATAGTCCCAGAGCTGAGGGAGGGGTTTCCTAATTGGAGAGAGTGAAATACTCAAGGCTATACTATAACTTTTTAATGACTAATTACTAGTCTAAGAATACATCTGTTTACATGGGAAGGAGAACTTGAGACTGAGTAAATTCATGTGGCAATAAGAATAAACTAAGGAGACATCAATCCTGGCTGGCTTTTATAAGATTGGGCAAGAGCACAAGAACTGCTGCACATGTGTGAACCAATGGACGCTGCTTTGAAGAATTTCCAGATTTGGATGCATGGCAAACATGCATATCCTAGATGTGGAATACACATAGGGACCAAGTTCAGTTAATTTTTCTTTAAACTAAGAGCAGTCTACTCGGAAATATGACTATATAAGAATCACACCATTTTACGCAACAGATCTGCTCCTTGTAGGAATACAGTCGCGTCATCCAACTCTAGTGACAAAAACAACTTTTTATTGTGTTTTACTTCTGATTACACTGCAGAGTCAGCACCATTAAGGAAGAGTAAACTGGATTCTATTCTTTTTGTGCACCAGCAAAAATACTGATTACCCAATTCCAATTACAGGGTTAATCACTTACATCTGTGCAGCCTCAGTGAAGACAATGGAAGTGGCCTGGTGTTAATGAGGGCATAATTTGGCCTATCGAATTTTAATTACTGGTGATAATATAAAAGAAGGAAAAAATGTTTAGGGACATTAAGAAACCAAGTTGAGTTTGACAAAGGCAATTTTTGGGGAGTAAACAGAGCATACTTGTTATGAAAATTACTAGAATACAATATTATCTTTATAGTCACTCTTCAGATAAAAAAATCATACTTTAAGGAATGGAAAATAGTATACAACATTCAGAACTTCATTCTGCTATTTCCAAAGTCTAAAGAAATAGGTGTGAGCTTGCTTTTAGAGGATGTTATCATCATGGGAATCATTCTGAAGAAAATTCTTCTTTTGGAAAATATTCCTTGGCTAATATACATTAACAGTAGCTTCTTTTGCCTTTATCATTATGGACACTGGCACAAAAACACGATTTTTGTTTAAGGAGCCATATATTTCTGCTACTTATATTCAACTTCCTACATAGTGATACCAAAAGTAATTTGCTCACTCCAGTTAAAAAAATAATCAAGAAATCTTTTCATTTCCAATTTGTGAAGAGGATGTCACCCAAATGAACTGAAAGCATGGGGAAAACAGTACAGTAAAACTCCAATAATCCGGCATCCAATTGTATGGCACTTCCGATAGTCCGGCATTAAAATGGCAAGAGCCTAGTGAGTGACTTTCAGCAAAAAACGAGTCATAAGGCAGCAGTGGCAGCAGCTGAACCGAGCAAAAAGGGTAAAAAAGAGTTAAAAAAACTAAAACATTACAGTATACTGTATACAGTATGTACAATAAAAATGATTAAAAACACTTTATATACAGTATATATATATAACCAGTTTATAGTACCTCCTGATAATCCGGCACATCCAATAATTCGGCACTACCAAGGTCCCAAAGGTTCCGGATTATCGGAAATCTACTGAATTAGGCTGATTTACTGAATATCAAGGTTCTCATAAAAAACCTCAAATTTGAACTGTATACACAATGACAAGTATTTGCATTGCTAACACATGCAGTTTCTTCTGGGAATGATTAATTTTGGGGATGCTGCTGTGGTGCACTCCTTTGAAAATCTGGTCTTTAATATTAGAACTGTTGATGAAGTTTCACTTACCATTGGCGGGAGTCCAGATTTTTCAACTCTCTCAATAATTTAGAATTTTTCTTAAGTAGATGAAAGTTTTTTCTACAGATATATAAGACAGGGATTTAAGGGAAATGTATTACAGAATATATGAAGCAAGTTTCATAATTCAAACAGATAAGTAAAGGTAAATGCATGAGTCAGACTTAAAATATACATATAAAAATTCCACACAGTATGATTAATTTGCATCACTTCAGTGCTTAAGACCTGTAATTAGCAAAACCAAATATAGAAAAAACTGAAAAATGCTATTTCCGACTACTAACTAGCTTCACAGTTCTTTCTCTTTTCTAACCTTTGGGGAAACAAAGGTATTTTGCAGACAGCTTTGCAGGAAATCAAATTTGGGCTATTTCATATCCAAGAACCCTTCTCTTAGAGAATGCTATGCCAGTGGCTCCATTTGATTAATACCTAGAGAGTTCCAGCATGAGCATCTATGCAAATCACAACTGTGGTAGCATATCACAGGGAAACAGAAGACTCAAGGGTTTTTTTAAGATAACAGCAACATCACAAACATACATTCACAGATACAGTCTTACCTTCTATCCCAAGAATTCATTCCTAAGTCATTTAGCAACAGCCTACAGAAATAGAAAGGTGCTTGTGGTTCAACAGAACTTGGTTCTTCTTGGCTGGCTACTTTCATACCAAGATCAGAGCTGCATCTATGTACATGTTCTTTTTCTTGGGCACTCTGCCTTATTATAGCTTCTATTATATCATTTTCTTGATCATGGCTCATACCAAATGGTGGTGGTGATGGCTCATTTAGTTTTAGCTGTGAACGTAAAAGGCATTCAGGACTAGTACTGCCAATCTTTTCTAGCAATTTGTCAAGTGCATCATCTCCTTCTTCTGCTTGAGAAATGTTTGTGTGGGCCTCAAATTGTCCTTCATGACTGCCCCAAAACACAAATGAATTATTTCCATTCTGACGTGCTAGACAGCCTTCCAAAGGTCCATACAATATCCTGCCATCCCAAGAATATTTCCCTGAGATATCTCTGACAATTACTCTTACATCTGAGAGGACTCCTGCTGGCTCAGTATCCATCGTCGTTTCTGCAGGAATTTGAAGGTAAGATATAAGAGTATTGTCATTAAATACAAATAATTGCAAGTTTGGACTTCTGAAGACATCTGAAGACAGCTCAGAAGATTCCACATAAAAGTTGTCATGATTCTCACTGATAAGGCTGTGAAGAATGGCAGGTCCTCCACTGAGGGGATAGTGACTTAAGTGGTTTACTAGATGTGTCATTACCATCCGTGCAGTTAGAGGTATTAATTCCAAGCTTCTTCTTTTTCTTTCTAAAAATCAATCAATACAAACATAATTATCAACAGCAGCAGCAAAGAGTAATTAAAACAAGCACCGACACATTCCTATCAATATGGAATTCATTGCAGGTGTTAAGGCTCCTTTGATTTTTTTCTTAAAGCCATCCTTTTTTCCATTAAAGAAACACTTTCTAAAATAAAAAAACCCCTCTCCACATTCCTTTCAAAAATAATCTTTAGATTTCAAAATTCTCCTTTTGGCTAATTTGCATTTATTCTAGCTCATTTTTCCCGCAAAATGTAAAGAGGTAACACTTGTTTTTAATGGGGCTATTGTCAATTAAAAGAAACAAAAGGAAGCATTAATTCACACAATTCTCACACAACCTGTGAAACTCCTTGTCAGAGGATGCTGTGAAGTCCAAGATTATAACAGGGTTCAAAAAAGAGCTAGATAAATTCATGGACAGGTGCATCAAAGGCTATTAGCCAGAATGGTGTCTCTAGCCTTTCTATTTGTCAGAAACTAGTAATGGGTGATAGGGAATGGATTGCTTGATGATTATCTGTTCTGTTCATTCCCTCTGGGGCACCTGACATTATCCACTGTTAGAAGACAGGACAGTAGGCTACATAGACCTTTGGCCTGACTGTTTTTATGGCTGGTCTTATGTTCTTATTAAAATTTTTGACCTAAAACTGGTCAGAGTTACCCTATCTCTACTGTAGTGAACTCTTATTTATAACCCCGAGAGAAAGAGAGAGAATGATTTACAGTGAAGAAGCTAACGGAAGAACAAAGAAATCTGATGAGACAAGGTGGATGAGATAATATCTTTTATTGGACCAACTTCTGCAAGGCACTCCAGAAATACCTCCATTTCTTCTGCCAAATCATGGCTCAAATCAGTAACAAGTATGATCAGAAGATCACTACTACTAGGAAGACAAGAACCCCTTCTCTAACCTATTAAGAATCTCTATTTTTCTATTACCTGCATGAGACAACACTGAGCAAAGCAAAATTACTTCAGAATATTGGGGAAACATAAGACATTAGCAGGCTGGCAAGAAGGTAATGATTTTTATAGAAACAGAGAAATTTATATTATTTACTGTTGTCAGCAATAGATGCAGCTTCTGTCTGTTTGCCCAATTCTGAAATACGTCTGTTTGCCCAATTCTGATATCAGCTAACATTCATCTGTATTACACAACTCCCCTGGTTTTTTTTTGTTTGTTTTTGTTAAGAGTGGAATCTTCAATAACATTTAATTTTACTACCCTTGTCCATCTTCAAAAACACAAAGCAGCTGCCTGCATTCTGTCATAATGAACTGGATATAGCTCTTTCTGGAGCTAATCAATGACATTCCATTCATCGGCAAGAAGAGGCTACAAGAGTGCTGTCAGGTGTTTCCTCCTTCCTAGGGGATGAGCACTGACAAGCATCTTAAACAATATTAACGGCATACAGTGATTTACATCAGCAAAGACACACACACACACACACACACACGACTTTTTCCAATGTTCTGTGCTGCTACTCCAATATAAAGTCTCATTAAATCTTGAATACCACAGTGTACTTGCAACAGCTTAATTTCATCTTATTTTACATTTACTCAGGACTTCTTAGCTGTGCTACATAATCTTCAGAATGAATTTATGTTCCAGACAAGATCATAATCTAGAAGGTCATCATCATCACAGGGAGAGCTGTGATTTAGACCCCATTCAGTCCCCCTTCAGTGAACCTCCCCAGGTGACTGGCCTGGATTCCTGAATGTCATTTTGAGTACCACCACATCATCTGATCACTGGATTCAGGGCAATTGCTCCCTGACCAACTGTGTTAACCTGACAGGCCAAGCTTGGTATGTGGGTTTGGCACTTATGAGCCTATTTCTTCTGGAAAATTGTGACAAAATAAGTTTGTAGTGACATAGAAATAGTTTCTTCAGAACAAAGCATTATTTATTCTTTTAGCCAAAGGTACCTAGCAATTACAAAGTTTAAAACAATATAGGTCTATATGCATATTGCCTGTTACCTAACCCCTGATCTTTCCTTGCAAGCTGTAATAAATTCCATTCAGTTCAGCTCTTCCCATCTCTGAGCTGGGAGGGACAGTCTGCATTGCTGCAGCAGCAGCATGCTCTGTGTCATGAACACAGTTCCAGCTGCTGTGGACAACCCGAACCCACTGCACAACCGTTTCAACCTAGCCTAACCTCTTTCTGATTTTAGTATACTTTTTCACCCTAAAGTTTGGCCTGGGAAGTCAATTTTCTTAACCTGGTGGGCACCAAGCCAGGGTTTATTTCCCACTTCCATAGTTTCTCAAAAGACCCTTGTGGGTGTCCTGTCAATTTCCTGCTTATACATCCCTTGATTTAACTTGCATTCAGACAGGATACTATTGGACTGATATACTGAAGTACATAAGATACGAAAAAGTACACTTAAATCCCTCATTCTCTACAAAGAATGGCAATTCCAAGTTTTTATTAAGACATTCAGCATTTTTTTCACAAAGGCATTATTGGTCACTTGGCAGGCTTCAAGTTCATCCCCACACTGCAACAGGATAGAAGTGCTGTAAAAATCAGCTGGTCTCTTTCCATAATTTATAGTTAATGACAAAAGAACAAAAAACCTGTCTAAAGGGTTTTAACAAGGGGCCCGAGGAAACGATACACAACCACATCTGGGAAAGTTGGGATCTGAGCTAGATCATTATGGTTTTATTGTTCAATAGTCAATCTCTTCTCATTGGCTACGTTCTGCAAGATGAAGCATGAATCTGTTACTCTACTGTGGGTGTACTGAGGTGGAGAAAACTGATTTGGGAAGTGGAAATAGCTGCATTGGATCGAAGCTCTTGGTACTGATGTTGAGACAAGCAGTGCTGAGACAAGGACCAGAGTAGTTAAAGAGAAGAGACCGCTTTTGCAAGCTGCAACTAAGCTGAAAATGCCTTATCTAGTTCATGAGAATCAGAAATCTAGATGATATGTTAAGCAAACCATTTCTCTTGCTGCAATTCTCTGTTCTTAATAAACCTTGTTTTTTGTTATCACTATTGCTGTATGGGTTATTTCAAGGAGGCTGCACTCAAAGAGAAGAAAATCCTTATAATCTCAAAGGGTACGTCTTACACAGCAGCATTATTTTGGGAATAGCTGGTGTTATTTAGAAATAACGGTGCGGGTCTACACAGCAAGCCATTATTTTGAAATAATGTCGAGATGGAGGACTTCTTACTCTGACTCCTGTAACCTTCATTTCACAAGGAGTAAGGGAAGTCAAAGGAAGAGTGATCTTCCTTCGACTTCCTGCTGTGTAGACAGCGCCAAAAAGCTGAATTAAGCTATTTTGACTTCAGCGACGCAATTGATGTAGATCAAGTTATATATCTTAATTCGACTTTTGCCCTGCAGCGTAGACATATCTCCGGCTCAGGCAGGGAAAATGAACACAGGTATTCTATCCCAGTGTGGTATGTTGCCATTAGGCTGCAAAAGGGCCAAGCAGAAGAGAGTTGAAGGAGGTGGGCGTAACTCGGGTGCTTGCTGGTTATATGACAAACACAACCCCATCACCCCAGAAGATCTAACCAAAAGGGAGAAAAGAATCTCCAGTTTCCTGTATGAAGTTTGCCTGTTAGATTGAATACATTTCATATTCCTAATGTTGAGGTTTACAATAATATAAAATGAGCGATCACAATCTCAAGCTGTCAGGGTTCCAAATTTTTGGAGACTGTCTAATTTCCTTGCAGATGTTGAGAATACTAGAAAAGAGGAAATTACACACATGTGCAGTAACCAATGTTCTTCAAGAGGAGTGTCCCCGTGGGTGCTCCACATTAGGTTGGTGTGTCGCTGCCGAGCTTGTTTTTTGGAGTCTTCAAAGCAATGTCCTGGGCTGCACATGCGCATGCCCCAACCCACGTGTTCCTATTGTGCAGGCACTGCACATGCATAAATACTGCCCCCCGCCTTCCTCAGTTCCTTCTCTACTCTAGAAGCATATAGTCTCTGTCAAGGAGGCCAGCATCCCAAAGTAGAAGAAAAGAGTATAGTGGAGCACCCATGGGGACACTCATCTCGAAAAATGTCAGTTACTGCAGAGGTGAGTCACCTCCTCTTCGAGAGAGAGAGAGAGATGTCCCTTACAAAGCTGTACCTGTTTAAAGTGGTAGGGACTTTGGATCTGGCATGAATGCAGTGGATAGTATCGTAACACTAGAACTGGAAGGGACCTTGAGAGGTCATTGAGTCCAGTCCTCTGCCCTCACGGCAGGACCCAGTACCATCTAGACCAGGGCTACTTAACTTTGGAAGTCCCGGGGGCCACCATGATACTCACAGCACACGCCAAGGGCCACAACTTAAGTGTAGTTGCATATACATGCAAATATATGCAAATAGCTTCTTTCACACTGATGGGCATGACTACAAAGCACTTCCCACAATGCCCCGGCGCTCCTGGCACTTCCTCGCTGAGGGCTAGAAACACTGACACCCTGTACCAGTCTGTTCCAGCCAGCCCATCCACTTGCATCTTTCAGTGCTCACCCCACCTGGGAGAAACCTTGCTGTTGTGGAGCGTGTTCCCGGTGGAGGCCATGTTCAAAGGATTCCACTTGTGGGCCATGTGTTGAGCCCTGCATAAACCCAAACTGCTCTACAGGTTGCAGGCCCTGGTTTAGACAATCCCTGATAGACGTCTGTCTAACCTGCTCTTAAATATCTCCAGAAATGGAGATTCCACAACCTCGCTAGGCAACTTATTCCAGGGTTTAAACCACCCTGACAGTTAGGAACTTTTTCCTAATGTCCAACCTAAACCTCCCTTGCTGCAGTTTAAAACCATTGCTTCTTGTCCTATCCTCAGAGGCCAAGGAGAACAATCAATCTCTCCTCCTTATGACACCCTTTAAGATATTTGAAAACCGCTATCATGTCCCCGCTCAGTCTTCTCCATTCCAAACTATACAAGCCCAATTCTTTTAGTCTTCCTTC